TTTAGTTTAATTTCCCATAATCCTCTCAGCACATACAGTCTGTACTCTAGCTAGCACACAGATAATTTATGTTCACTCCCACTCGTGCCTTCACCATTCTTCAAGAGCCAGATGACAGGAAAAATATATACAACTAATATTGAATCATGACATACCTGGCACTGTGCAAAAAATACTAACCTCCACAACCACTCTGTTTTGCAGAAAGTGAGGCTCAGAGACTAAGTATGTTTCTCAAGAGACTATAACTAGTAGTAAACTAGTAGTAAACTGCCAGTGGATTATTTCACCTCCTCTGTAAAGCTGTCCTTCCCTTTTGATCTCAGCACCTAGCCTTTGCCACTATACTATATGTAGCACATCATTGTGTGCCATTTTGTTTATTTCCTAATTGTGTCCTTGTCTTCCTCATCTCAGTGGTAAGTACATAAGATCCAACCAAGTAGCATCTTCCAGTGTTGAGCATACAATAGGTGTTGAATAAATACCTGACTGATTTATATATATATATATATATTTATATATATATGTTCATGTATATTGATGCCCTGTCCCAAGTGGCTCTGGACACAATAGTCAGCAGGTTGCAGACCGTGTGATTCTTCTTCTTCTTTTTTTTTTTAATTAACAAAAAACCCTTTCATTGTGATTTGGGTAAAGGTTTACAGAGCAAATCCATTTTCCATTCAGTAATTCATACACATTTTGATTCATGACATTGAAATCCCCACAATGTAACATCAGTCATCCTGTTTCCTCCCCGTTTCCTGTTTCCTCCCCGTTTCCTGTTTCCATTCCCCCTCCTTTCCTATCCCTTCCTGCCGTCTGAGCTTTGTACTTGGGCAAATGCTGCCCTTTTGACCTTGAATGGTTGATTATTCTAAGGAGTGCATATGTCTCTGGTGTTATTGTTCACCTTAGAGACCTGTCTGTGATATAGGTGGAAGTTGAGCAGTGGGGGCGAGTTCAGTTCCAGCCTCAAAGGGTGACTGAGGACCATCATCACAGGGGTTCCACCAGTCTCTGTCCAACCAGTGAGCATGGTCTTTTTTGTATGATTTTCAGTTCTGTTCCACATTGCTCTCCCATTCAATCCAGAAGTTTATAATGTGATTGCTTATATAGCGGTTGGTAATTGTAGTTGAGCACTGTCTACTTCTGGTCCCAGGGTCATGGAGGCTGAATTTCACCTAGTCCCTTAGTTGTTTGGACTAATTATTTCCAAGTATGTTTTACTTTCTTTACTCTTCTTTGCTCTGGACAAGAACCTGTGCCTTTAGCCACCATGAGTATTTCCTCCCAAGAGGACTTTGGAAATCACACTAGCCTAAGTCCCACCCACTGGGGATGGGACTTGAACAACTTAGTATGCTAGGTCTGTTTTTCATGTATTGCTCTCAAGCGAAATCTAGATGTGGAGTCTTTCAACTCAGAAGAGCTAAATCAGAGGGACCTGAAGTCCCATTCCTGCTTTATGTAAAGCCAGCTCCAAGATTTCTGCAAGTTTCTAGAGGCTTGTATTCTGTCACCTCCAGTTTCTGCTTCTGCTAAATTAATTCACATTATAAACTGTGATGACTTGTCATTTTATTTTGTGTGTTCTTGTTTCTGTGAAGCATGACACAGACTCATGTAAAATTCAGCTCTTCCTCACAAGGAGACAAATATCTTTAGAGTGCGTGGTATTTCTAACAAGTCTTAAAAGTCCTCAGTCACCATGACATAGTGCCCTAGCTTCTCCCAGCCTCCTCTCTTTCCTCTCTTCTCATTTCTTCCTCTCTCCTCCTTTCTCTGCCTCTTCCCTCCATTCTCTTCTCCTTCCTCTTCAGAGTAAACATAAATTCCTCCCAGCATTTAGTAATTTCTTTTGTGGCCTTGGCTCTTGATAATTGTGCTTTCAAGGTATTATCGTGTCCCAGTGACTTACCAAAATATTTCCTTATACAAAGGCAGTTTCCTTTCTAAGATGTCCCTGCCTCTTTGCTATCCTGTGTTGTCCATCCCAAATGCCACCTCCTGCCTTTCTACACGCAGCCATACTCATTAGATTCTCTTCCCCCTTCCCAACTCCCAGTCAATGACATTTGGGTTTCTTGTTTAGCTACTTAAACGTAATTGCATGGCTTGTGGGTTCCAAGGCTACCCTGCTAAAGATGAAACTTCCGTAATTACTTTCTGTGCCTAGTATCTGGTTTTATTTTTAGTAAGTATTCAATAACTACTAGAATAAATCTGACAAAGTACCTAAAGCTAGGATGCCAGTAATTTATTCACCCCGTGATCGCACAGTTAATAGAAATTATAGTAGGCAGCCTCATAACTTATTTGTCTTAAATTACCCTGAGTGGAAAAAATTACTGGGATTGAGACTTCAAAGGCAACTCTAGTCCCTTAGTCCAGAAAATGTTTGAGATGATAGCCACAGAAAATGTACTATATAAATTCTCACCTCAATGAAATATAACTCAGCCTGGACCAATGGATGTAAATAACTCAGCCTTGATTATGAACTCATGCTCAACTAATAAAGGAGAATCTAAGAGGTTTATTTACAGCATAGGCTCAGGATTCTGAGTGAGCTCTAGATAAAAATTTTCTGACAGAAGAGCTATCATACTTGGCACATGGTAGGAATTGAAGTCCTTGCTAATTGAATGAATGAATGCGGAAGTGTAGACCTACAATACCTGCAGCAGAGGTATTGCACAGTGCCTGGAGGGCTCCCCTTACCTTCCTCCCTGGCCATGTGCCTGTGGTATGAGATCTGAATCCTAGTTTCTCCACTCGACACTAAATGTGTGGCACTCAGCAAGAAAGATAACTGCTCCAGGCTTGGTTTTATCATCTGTGAAATGAAAGTCCTGGGCTAAAAGACCTCCAGAGTATGCTTGAATTTCTTCTATGAGTATAGTTTTCTCTTAGAAAAGTAATACAAAAAAAGTCCAAAGTCACTGCCATCGAGTCAGATCCCGCTCATAGTGACCACTCCTTGGGTTTCTCAAGCAGTATCACTACAGAAGTAGATTGCCCAACCTTCCTTCTGAGGAGTGGCTGGTGCTGCCATTTATTTCCGGGACATGGAAATAAATACACAAATACCCTGAGTGGAAATACTCAAATAGTGTTGAGCATACCTAATGAGTAAAAGTCTCTTTCCTTGTGCCCCACTCCTAGGCCCTCTTAGAAGCTTCTTTAGAGTAATTCTGTTTTATTCCTTTAAATAATATGCTTATGCGTCTTTTAAAATGTATCTGCTTTAAGCAGTACATTTGTCTTTGCACTATTCAAGGCAGGAATTTATCTTATTACCTTATCTTATATTTAAATGAAAGATATGTATGTTTTAATGGTCTATACCCATTTCCTTTATTGCTTTACTGCATTTAAGCACTGTTTCTTAATTCATTGATTTTAAGTAGTATTCCCAACTCCCCACAAGTGAACTGCTGCCTCCTTTACTTTCCTCCACTCCTTCTCCCTCTTCTAGTTCCCTGCTTCTGTCCATGAAATCCAGGACTTTGAACCAGTTTGAACCAGTTCAGTAATGGCTGACGAAATGGAACTGGAACAGATCCTAAGTTTAAAAATTTGGGTGATCCAGAACACTAACCAGAACAGAGAAAATTAGGAATCGAAGCCTTGGAATGGAAGGCTCAGAAGAGGCATAGTGAGCCCTTTGCATGACCCTGGATTATTGCCAGGACTGTGGAAGGCAAAGCTGTGCTTGGCCACCATCTGTGAACCGAGCACCATTGTGTTCAACTCAGCTGGTCAAGATAGTTGGTTACTATGCAACTCATACCCTGCTCTTGTTTTCTAAGAAAGAGATCAAGTTTCCAGCAGAGCTTCAACCTGTCATTTTTCCCACTCTGGGTAGCATTCCAGTTCACTCACATTTTAAAAACTCGGGATTATTCTAGTGTTGCTTTGTCAGCCATGACTGAACTGGGCTGAACCAGTTCGAAGCCCTGGTTAAATTATTACTTTCATCTTTTCCAAGGTTATAGTGTTTAAATTCTCTTTTGTAACTATGATTGTTCTAATTGCTTTTTCTATAGGTTAATTCTGAAAGTCAAAAGCCCCCAAAGTCTAATTTTGTGACTATTCCTTGCTGCAGAACTAGATAGTGTAGAGGAAGATGTAGTAGGTCTGCACCATCATACCTGGACCACCTGGAGAAGAACGTTCCGAGAATCAAAATCACACTGATTGTCTTTTATTTCACTCCATATGTTGCTCAAAATCATGCCACGCTTTAGCTTATTTCATGTTACGAATGGCTTTAATTTTTAAATATTCCCAGACTCGACATTTGGATTGGTAGTTCTCAAACTTGCTGAATATTGGAATTACCAAAGAACTTTAAGAAATCCCAATACTTAAAATGGACTCCATGTCTAGAGTCTTTGATTGAATCAGACTGGGGTGTGGCCTGAGCATCTGTGTTTTAAAAATGTTGCCAGGTGATTCCAATGAGTAGCCAAAGTTAAGGACCCTGACCATTAATGTCAGTTGTATCTAGTGCAGTCAAAGGTAATGACATATACTGAGCCTTTTGAAAAGTAAAACCTAAACCATCTAAAGATTTACAGAAAATTTTCTCTTTCAGTTGCAGTTGTCTGTCACCTACTACGATGGAGATGATGTAAAAAGATGCACTTCTCTGCACTCACCTTTTGAGATTTTCACTTGGTGGTGGTTAGTTGAGTGGAGAGTTTTGTTTTTAAACCTATCATTGTCTTTAGATGGATACTCTGGGAGTGGGGACCTGGAAGTGTTGCAAGGAAAGAACTGTGTGAAATGTCAGATCCTTGTTATTTGTACTTGTATGTTTCAATAACTGATTATTTTTCTCTTGTGTTTAAGAATATGAAACTGTGTTTCCAGTACTTCTGGTCTAATTTTATCTCATTTCCAGGGTCAGTTGAAAGGTTGTTCCTTTTCAGCCCTCCAACTGAGATGCCTGGAAGAGTGAGAGCAAGGTTAGCGGGCCACAGGTCCTAGTACGTGTAGCTGGCAGTGAAGAGTGACTGGGTGGAAGCGGCACCCGACGAGCCCGAATGAACATACTGTCCTCTGGCTGCCTGGCTGTTAGCCTGAAAAACAAGCAGAGAGAGGAGATGCAGTCAGAGGAAAACCCCAGCCCTGAGCCTGATGCTCTGCTTCTCGTGCGAAACCAGCTGTGCCCTCATTGGGATTGTTTGTCTCTACAGTGATTTGGCTGAATCTTGTTGCCAACACCATCTCCTTCTTCTATAATGTTATCTCCTTTATATCTCAGTTTTCTGAGCATTTCTTTGGCAAATCTGAAGTTTATATTAGTTACTGGGAAAATTCCTGTTTAGTACAAACAACATTGCAACAGGAGAACTCAAAATTAAGGCTGAGAAACATCTCACTAGTATAGTATTCTATAGCAAAAAAAAAAAAAGTTTAGTTTTACATTTTCCTGTTTCCTACTTATAGTTATTTATGAGAATAATTTTATGTCATTGTAATTATAGTATTATTTGATCTCTATGTGAGTCCCAATTAAAAGTAAATTCAAAATTATGAAATTTATGATAATATTCAAATACCACTCAGTAGTGCCAGTTCCCGAAATCACTAGTGCTGTTGTATGCTTTTGCCAAGACCTGTTTCTACAGTGGTTCTCGAAGTGTGTTTCGTGGGCCATCAGCATCACCTGGAAACTTGTTGTCCACTGTTGTTAGGTGTGTCGAGTCGATTTAGACTCATAGCAACTTCATGTGCCGCAGAAGGAAGGACCGCTTGGTGCTGTGTCGTCCTCACAATCGTTGCTGTGCTTGAGCTCATCGTTGCAGCCACTGTGTCAGTCTGTCTCATTGAGGGTCTTCCTCTTTTTCACTGACCATCTGTTCTGGTTCCCTAGTGCTGCTCTGACAAGAATGGGCCACCAGTGGGATGGCTTGAACAAACAGGAGCTTATTCTCCAACGGTTTGGTGGTTTTAAGTCTGAGTTCAAAGTGCCAGGCTCTAGGGGCTGGGGGAAAGCCCCTCAACCTTGGGCTTCAGCTCCGCCTCCTGCTCCCCTCCCACTGGAGCTAGAGGCTTTTCTTCACTCAGCTGCTGGCGGCTGAGACTGACAAACCCAAGGTTGACAAGGAAAAAGGCACAGTCCTGATGTTACCAAATGACACGACAGGCCATTCATTCAAGTCCATTGAAAGTCCCAAGGTCGGCAGATCATGGCAGGCAGCTGAACAAGGACACAGCTACATGCATGGTTCAAGGTGCCATAAGCTAGAGACCATTCCCAAAGCTGTTTCTCATACATGGGAAGCAGACATCCCCAAAGCAGCTACTCAGCTGCTCCAGTAGATTCCACCATGGAGTTAATTACCAGTCTCACCGTGGGGAGTAACTACATCCAGCTGCCCAGCCACTCAGCCAGGCCCAGCCAAGTGGACACACAAACTTAACCACCACACCATCCACTTTACCAAGCATGATGTCCTTCTCCAGGGACTGTCCCCTCTTGATAACATGTCCAAAGTATAAGAGGCAAACTCTAGCCAACTTCACTTCTAAGGAGCATTCTGGCTGTAATTCCTCCAAGACGATTTGTTCTTCCCTCTCGTAGTCCATGGTTCATTCAATATTCTTCGCCAACACCACAATTCAAATACATCAGTTCTTCTGTGATCTTCCTTATTCATGGTCTAGCTTACACATGCATATAAGCCTATTGAAAAGACAATGGCTTGGATCAGGCGCACCTCAGTTTTCAAAGTGACAGCTTTGCTTTTCAACACTTTAATAAGATCACGTGTGGCAGATTTGCCTAATACATCATTTGATTTCTTGACTGCTTCTTCCATGGGTGTGGATTGTGGAGCCAAGTAAAATGAAATGCCTGACACCTGAATCTTTTCTCCATTTATCATGATGTTTGTTATTGGTCCAATTGTGAGGATTTTTATTTTCATTATATTGAGGCATAATCCATACTGAAGACTGTAGTCTTTGATCTTCATCAGTAAGTGCTTCAAGCTCTCATCACGTTCAACAATCAAGCTTGGGTCATCTGTATATCACAGGTTGTTAATGAGTCTTCCTCCAATCCTGATGCCATGTTCTTCTTCATATAGTCCAGCTTCTCAGATTATTTGTTCAGCATACAGTTTGAATAAGTATGGTGCAAGGATAAAACCCTAATATAAAGCTTTCTTGATTTTAAACCATGCAATTTTAAACTTCCTAATTCTGTTCAAACGACTACGTCTTGATCTATGTACAGGTTCCACGTGAGCAAAATTAAGTGTTCTGGAATTCCCATTCTTTGCAATATTGTCCATAATTTGTTATGATACACACACTTTGCATAGTCAATAAAACACAGGCAAATATCTTTCTGGTGTTCTCTGCGTCAGCCAAGATCCAGCTCTAAAATCTCATGCTTCTCTTATGGCCCTGAATTACTTGAGCTTTCCTAGGGCCTTTCTTTCCCTTTAGTTCCTCATCACCAAACTTCTGGTTACACTTGATTCCTTGCCCAGACTTCGCGAAGTTAAATGGGGCCTATCACTAAAATTCTGCATTCTTCTATCTCCCTATGAAACTTTTAACGCTGCCATTTCCTGTTCAGGTTTATCTGAATTTTTCTGCCTGCTTAAAAAACTGTTAGGAAAACCCAGGAACCCAGCTAATGCACCAGAAACTCAAGGTCTCACTTCAGCTGCACCTTCCCCACTGCCTGGCCGCAAAGGCTGGTCAATTTCCTAACTCTTTCAACAGCTATTCTAGCCTGTCCCACTGTTAAGACTGACATCTCCATGACACATTCTCAACAGATTCCCGCAACTGTAGTCAGTGATCAAGTGCTACATCTCTTCACCTCTGAAAACACTAATTCCAAATCCATTCTCTTTCCTTCTCTCTAAGACCACCTCTAACACCTGTATTTGATACTCAGTCTCATGCAATCTTATTCCCATAAGCCCTTGTCCCTTCAGTTATGACCACTCTCCTTACCTTTAATGTTTTGTTTCATATTGAAACATGTCCAGCTCACTTCTATTTGGCTAAACTCTAAACTCTCTAGAGGAGAGATAATATGGCTGAGTCATTCACCCCAGTGCTTGGCCCACAGTAGGTTTTCAAAAAGTAATGGTAATTGAATAAAGCCATTGTTGGACTCATTTCTCCTGTTAACCTTTCTGAGTTTTTCCGGACAAACTCTTGAGTATCTTCCCTCCTCTCTATTGAAAATGTTTTGTTGAATCCCATCGATATGCTCTAAATGCCAATGCTATCACTTTTTCCCTTTGTTTTGAAACTCTCCATAAAAGATACCTTACAACATTTTTCTATTTCTCCCCAGAATCTTTGGTTCATCCTATCATATTCTTACTGCTTCTCTTGATGGCGTCTCTTCTTCCTGGAATGAATGCTGTCCTAGTCCTCAGTCCCCTTCCCTCTGAAGTGTCTTTGTTGGAACTACCTTTCAATCTACTGTCAACTCTACCCCCAAGGTGGCTAATTAAAAACTTTCTGTAGCCCTAACATTTCTAGTGAGGAGCTCTGGTGGCGTAGTGCCTAAGGCATTTGACTGCTAACCAGAAGGCTGGCGGTTTAAACCCACCAGCCACTCCTCGGAAGGAAGGTTGGGCAATCTACTTCCATAGTGATACCACCTCAGAAAGCTAAGGAGGGGTTGCTATGAGTCGGATCTGACTCGACGGCAGCGAGTTGTTAGTTAACATTTCTACTGAGCACTAATACTGCATTTTCAAATATCAAGTAGATACTCTCTGAAAGATACCTTTGTGCCCTGGGGGGGAAGCATCCCTATATGGGAGAGTCAGCTCCAAGCATTAACTTGACCTGCGTTATCTTACCAAGGCCCGCTTCATAAAGGCCTCCTGTGTTGCCTTCTTGTTGGCAGCCTTGCCACTCCAAGCAGCAAGTGCACTGGCCTGTAGGGCCCGTCCGTAAGAGAAGCTTAGTTTCCATGGCTTTGGTAGAGGGCAAAGGTTGATAGCATTGAGGTTGAGAGTGGCATCCTCTTCACTCATGCCACCAGATAGGAAGCAGATGCCTGGAAGGAGAGAAGTCTACAGCTTATGTACTCTGCTTGAGAAAGCAGGCAATGAACCTAAAACAAATATCATGTCTCAATCTTTGTTTGATTGGCCCGGGGCTCTGGATCAGAGAAGTGAGCTTGCTTTTGCTGGGGCTTGTTGGGCTAAGGAGAGAAGAGAATATATAAAGAAGGCAGTAACATTTTGGGGAAATAAATGGATTGGGTAGACTCAGGATACTCTATCATGGTGGGAGAGAAGTGCTGACTGCCTTTGAGATAGTCAGCTTCATGGCTAGAAGCTAACTCCTGGACAAACACAAATGCTTGTAGCAGTCCTTCAGAGAATAAGGGCTAAGACTTCCTATTAGGAAAGAAAGAAGGCCTTACCAGGAACAGCTGCAGGAACAGTGCGGTGGAGAGCTGTGACAGTGGCCATAGCCACTTGCTCTGGAGTATACTTCTTGGTGCAGGCGTGTCCAGCAGTCACCATGTTAGGCTTCAGAAGGGTGCCCTCCAGGTAAACATGATGGTCGTTCAAGGCCTTGTAGACGGCAGCCAGCACCTGAGGAACAGGAGATACACATAGGTGAAACCTAGAGCCAGTCTCAGAGTCACATTACCTTCGTACCTACGCCACGGAGATGAAGGAATGCCCCTATATTGTTTGGCCAGAGCTTCCCGACCAGCCACGTGGCTTCATCAGGGCAATGCATTGCAAAGCTTAGCCACTGAGCACAACCATCCTGTCTTATCCCCACCACCCCTTCACTAGCTGCTCCACTGCATGGATATTGGCTTGGCCCTCTTTCCTAGAGGCCTTCACTTCTTCCTTCCCATCACTCCCTCTGCTTAATGCCACTTCCTTTTGAGACAGCCTTGCTTTAGTTGGGGACATCTAAACTGGCCTCCACTCTCCATCCCATAGAGTGATCCTAAAGAATCACACACTTTAGAAACAGAAGTGCACAGAGCTCATTTCAGTCACCTTACATTTGTAGGGGAGGAAGCCACATTATGGCTTTCAAACTCTCGGTGTGCGGGGAGAACCACCCTCTTTCAGGTGTACTGTGGCAAAGTTAGAAAATCAGATAGGAACAAAGGACTTTCTGATTACACTTTTTCATGCGAGCCTCAGATCGTCTTTTTAAGTTGTGTAGTTGACATACAATGAAACTAAGATCCAGACAGATCATATGACTTAACTAGGGTCCCACAAGCCACGTTCAGTTTTGGTGTTGAAAACCTTGTGGTTTTCCATATCGAGTATATCATGTGCCAAAGAAGTAGAAGGGTTGATAGGCAGCCCCTTAGCTTCTCAATGTTATTTAATGATTCTAATGTAATGCTTGTCTGAAATATAAAATAGTCATAACAACTTTTACTATAAACAAGAATTTTCTATTGGATTTTTGACCTTATTATTTAAGATTTACCTTCTCAGTAACATACTGGCAGTGTTCAAGGTCATGGTCTCCATCAGGAATAACCTCTGGTTCGACGATGGGTACCAACCCATTCTGAAAGGAAAAAGGGGGACAAAATAAAGCTGTGCTCCCTGTGCTCCTTTCCTTAGGAGGCAATTCAATGGTGGCCACTCATATGAAACGAAGTCCTCATGGCCAGCAAGTCAGTTCTGATTCATAGTGACCCCCATGGCGTTTCCAAGGCTGTAAAGCTTTGTGGAAGCAGATTGACTCATCTTCCTTGCACAGAGCAGCTGATGGGTTTGAACCACTGATTTTCTAGGTAACAGCCAAATGCCTTATCCATTGAAAGTGAAAAGAAATCTGATAGGATATCTAGTGAGCGTTTGTTGTTGTTATGTGCCATCGAGTCGGCCCTGCCTCATAGCAACTCCTCCTTCGGTTTCGAAGGCAGTATCACTACGAAAGTAAATTTCCCAACCTTCCTTGTGAATTTGTAGCTTAGCCAAAAAAAAAAAAAAAAAAAAAGTGAGGCAAAAAGAGTTAATTCAGAAAGGGATGGGGTTAAAAATATATATATACAAATCTTTAATCTCTATATTTTATTCTAGAGACTATTGCAGCTACCCCAGAACCTAGCTGCCTCCCTTTTAGGGCAAGTAGCCGAAATCACTAATAAAGATACCACCTGATGTGGATTAATGAAGGTTTTTAAACAGGGCTTACAGTTCTAATTAGAAATCTCAGATTACTACAAGTCCAGTCCTGCTACATAGTTCCCACCGAAGCAAATGAGACTTAAGTTGGATGCCCAGACCCTTCAATACATGTTGGAAGCCTTGAACATCAAGTCACCATCCTCCGAGAAAGTGCACTGGTACTTGATCAGAATGATCACCTACCTCCCTGGGGCAGAAGAGCATCATGTCTTGGACTTTATGGAACCCAGAGAAGCAACTGCCCTGGTCTCAAGGGCTTGATCACTCTGAAGACTCAACTTTATAGGATTTGATTGGTGATTAACTGGGGTTTCCCCTTGGAAACCCAGTGGAGGTTGCTATGAGTTGGAATCAACTTGATGGCAGTGGATATACCTGGCTACAGCAAAAATGGTAAAAAAAAAAAAAAAAAAAGTGCTATCAAGACACAGTGGAAAGGTAAGAGGAAAGTCTGTGTGTGATGACAGCAAAATTAAAAAGAGAGGCTCTAAAGGGAATGTTCCAGTCCAGGCCAGTTACTAGCAAGTCAGCTCTGACTCATGGCAATGCCATGTGTGTCAGAGTCGAAGTGGTCTCCCTAGGGTTTCCAATGCCCAGTTGTGCAGAAGTAGATGACTAAGGCCTTCTTCTGAGGCACCTCTGGGTGGACTCGAACCACTAACTTTTTGGTTATCAGCCAAGCACTGAAGCATTTTCACCACCCAGGGACTCCAAAGGAAGCCCTAGTCTACTGCTTTTTGGCCCGAGGGGAGGGCAGAGCACCTGCTGACAGATGCTAGCATAGCGGGCCAAGGCGTTGGCGTTCTCCTGGACGGCGAGGCTGGACGGACACTGGTCGGCAATCCTCAGCACAGCACGCCACTTCCCAAAGTCAGCACCGTCCTTCTTGTACTGAGCACAGCGCTCAGAAAGGCCATCAAGTCCTACAAGTCACAAAAGAAAGAAGGGCTTCTTTGAGTCACTTTTCCGGATCCATTGGGCCTCTGCTGTAGTGAAAGTCTCTCTTGATTTACCTTTCTGTCAGCAGAGCTTGAAGCCTGAAAACAGCCACCCAATAAACATTAATCACAATACGTGCCCAGAGACTCGGATGGAGTAAATACGGGTTCAGTGGACATAGTGGATAGTCTACAAGTAGGTTGGCAGGAACTAACACTCTCTTTTTGTGCTTACCATGCTCCAGGCATAATTCTAGGCATTTTGCAAACCTTATTTCATTTAATTACCATAACAATTCAAATAGTTAATGTTATCCTCATTTTACAGATATGGAAACTGAAGCTTCAGGAGGTTAAGTGACTTTTACCAAGTTTATATGGCTAAAGGGTGACAGAGTGAGAACTCAGATTCTGATTAGCTAACTCAGTGTTATCATTAATAGTGGTCTTCTTGCACAGCGAAAAATCCTGAAAAATGAGTTAAGTTGTAAGTGATGAAACTAGGGTTCAAACCCATGCGTGTCTGAATCCTGTAGCCTTTCCTTTCTACTGCTGCCGGATTTTTCTCTAAAAATAATAGTTTCAGGTATAGTGCACCTTCTCTGTGGGAAGCGCTGTAGTAAACCTTTTTGTATGTTATTTAATCCACACAGTGAAGTCTGCAAAGTAGATATCGCTATCCTATTTTAAGATAAGAGAACTGAGACTTAGAACATGTAAGTGGTTTTCCCAAAGTTACACATTTATTAAATGGAAGAGGTGGGATTCCAAACCAGGTATGTGTGGTTCTAACTCCAGTGTAAGTTCACATTTTGTTTCCTCTTCCTTATTTCTTTCCTTGCCTTCATTTCTAGCATTTATCACCATGACTCATTATCAGTGGGAGGTATCCTTACCTTGAATGGAAGTTTCTTTGTTGGTTCCTGCAAGGGGAGCAGCTCCTTGGTCTAACTGTGAAAACAAACCATTAACAAGTAATTAGCAGGCATTAGGTGCCAAATGGGAGCTCTGGCAGCATAGTGCCTAAGGCACTTGACTGCTAACCAGAAGGCTGACGGTTCAAAACCACCAGCCACTCCTGGGAAGGAAGATGGGGCAATCTTCTAACGTAGTGATACTGCCTTGGAAACCCAAGGAGGGGTCGCTATGAGTCGAGTCCAACTCAACGGCAATTAACAAAAACAACAACAACAACAGATGCCAAATAGAAGACAGGTCGAGCTTCTGGGCCTGACAGTTCTCATCTTTCACAAACCAAGTACTTGAATTAAGAACAGAAGTTACCTGAAAGAAACAGTGGAAGAGATTCAGCCCTAAGAGTGTGGCAAGTATATAGAAAGCACAGGCTGAAAGTTTCAGATGTAAAAAGCCATTGGACAGTACCTGGATTGGACGCAGAGCACAGAGTAACAGCAGCTGCTTCTGAGTCAGTTATTGAAGACAGTCATTTCTTCATTTATGCATGAGACACTTGTTGAGCATCTGCGCATGCCAGGCACTGTGCTATCACAGTGGGTCAAGGAAATAAGGATGCAGTCTCAACTTTCCACATAGTGGAGGTCCCAAGCGTTAGAAAGGCTGGATTTACCCAGCTCCACCTTCCACTACTGTGAACAAGTTATGCTACCTCTTGCAGTTCAGGTTTCCCACCTCATTTCTACAGGAAGGGTAATAATTGAGTCTATATCTTGAGGTTGTTATAAGGATTAAATGAGGGCTTGGCATTGTAAGCACCCAATAAGTCCGAGTTTTCACTCTTGAGAAGTTTATGCAATATTAGTTACAGGCAGCAGGTTATGCAGACTTAGTTACAAGGTAGAACAATAGTGCTTTAGTAATAGTAGCTATCCCGGGTTGAAAGGAGCCCTGGTAGCATAGTGGTTAAGTGCTTGGCTGCTAATGGGAAGGTCAGTGGGTTTGAACGCACAGCCACTCTGTGAGAGAAAGGTGTTTCAGTCTGCATCTACAAAGATTTATAGCCTTGGAAACCCCTTGGGGCAGTTCTACTTTGTCCTATAGGGTTGCTATGGGTCAGGATCAACTCGATAGCCTATTTTTTGTTTGTTTATCATTAATTGAACAATTATTATGTGACAGGAGCTTTTAAAAAATATATATATTTAATCCTTACAAGAAAGTTATAGGGTAGGTACTATTATTCCCATTTTAGAAACGAGGACATTGGGATACTGAGAGATTAAGTACTTTGAGATAACCTTGGTTGAAA